TCAGAAGTTGCCGTGTGCCAGTGCTGGAGGCTGGACGCTGCTGGTGTGGACGTGGAGCAGCTTCAGCCACTGAGAAACGCAGGTGGAGGAAAGGTGAGTTAGGGTAAAGCCATTAGCGGGGTTTTCCTCACATTGAAAGTAGCTGAAAGGGGATGGATTGCAGTAATAACAAGTTTCAGTCATGAATATTAATGCTGAAGTAATTAAATCAGACGACTAGGAATTATAGGACAGGGAGATACTTCACGTGTCGTTGAATCTGCTCCCCAGTTAGCATGGAAACCCTTTCAGAAATGTACGGAGCTGCCAGTTAATCACAGGAGGGTTGACAACGGCCCTTGCGCAGCCTGGTTTTTCATCTTCCATTTGTTGAAAGATTATTTTGTTTTCATCGCAGGATGCCGGGTGTGGATCTGAACGACCAAACCCTGATCTGATGTGCAACTGCCAACACAGGGCAGGGGCAGCAACAGCAAACGACTTTCTGTGTCGAAGCTGAGTCTACCTGAACCGAACCTGCATTGCCAGACATCAAAGTATCCCCATACATAACGTGCTGAATTCTTTGCTGAGGCAAATTGTTGGCAGCTTCACTCGTTTATACCGTGTGTGTTTAAAATACGCGTATCGGGATGTGACAGCTCCCCGGATTCTGGTGACCTCCTTTAGGAGCATGAATACCAAATTAGCTGAGCCAGTTGAAGCAGAAGATCTTGACGTTAACAGAAGCGAGACGGTGTTTGCGTCCTCGTGAAATCATATTTTTCCATTTTCTGGCCATGAAGATGTAAGGACCGGCTGCTGCTTCTCCAGTGCTCTTCTCTCCCAGTACCTCCAGCCTCCAGGTCTTGTCAGCTCAGAGGATTTTCTCTGTTTTCTATGGGTTGTGTGGTTTGCTTATCCACTGTATTACCACTCGTCTCCAAAGTTGAAGGTGCTAATGTGAAGATGCCCTAAGCTGGACAAGTGATGTTGATTGATTGTGGGCCCAGCAGCTCCTCGCCCTCTCCCTTAGACCAGCCGCGAGCGCAGGGCTCGCAGCTCGGCCCCAGGGCATGCGGGTGCCCGGTGCAGGAGCCACGGGGTGACAAGGACGGAGCCAGCAATGCTGGGGGCTTGGGCCCTGCTGTGGTCCTGGCTGTGCAGGGAATGTGCTGCTGCTCCTCTGGGTCAGATGTGGGCACAGGGAATATGGGAGAGCCAAAGCCTGCTGGCTGTTCACTTACATCAGTATGTTTTATAATTCGGGTTTGTCATGTACTGTTTGGTTTGCAATAGACAGAAGCAGGAGGTGGCATAATAACCATCATGCTCTTTTGTTATCTGTTGTACGCAGCTCCACATAAACAGCAGAAAAATGAACGGCTCGGTTATCCTTTCAGCTACCGGGCGTGCTGCTCGCAGCCCTGCAGCACTTTCCCCAGCTGGGCTATCAGGACTGTGTGAGAAGATACAGAACTGGCGGCTAATTCGGCAGCACTGGTGGTTAGCAGTAGGCACCCTGGTAAGGCAGCCTGGTTGAGCTGGTAGCATTCTGCCTCTGTAACTCGGCGTACCCCAACATCTGACTGTGTGAGCACTGCTCAAGGGATCAGCACTTTTGTCGTTCTCCTTAATAGGGGAAAAAACAAAAGCCAACAAAATACCCAAACCCAGGGGGAAAGAAAAAAAAGCGTCCTTAGAAACCGAGAGTTCCGTGTGACATCCTCAACCACTCTAAAATAGCAGAGGATAATCTAGCTTAAAGAATGTTACGAATGACTTGATAGATTGAGAGCAGGCGCAGGCGCGCAAAAATGGGCAAAGCCAAGGCACAAACATGCCCTTGGCAGCGTCAGAAGGGTTTGATAAGATTTGACATAACCTAAAAATATCTACTGGCTTCCAGAGTGTGGCTGTCAACAGAAAAAGAGATCAGCTACGTAAATATTGATGTTCTCTAATAAGCTGTTAGAGTGATGGATATGGAGAAAGGGCAGATTGTCGCTGAATTTTCCTAAAAGCAAGATATTACCGTCTGTGCAGTCCTTTGGAAGGAGTTTTAGTTTCAGCCCGGGAGTGAAGCACTGGCCAACGAGCACGTTTTCAGTTACACTCAGAGCACGGGAAGCTAAAGTAGGGAAGTTTGCTTGGTAGGAATCCATTCATAAGTGTGGGGATTATTTAAAATTGCTGCTTCTGTAGAAGTGCCTAGCAAAGGGAGATGGGAAAGAGCAGAAATAATAACCAGGGAGCCCACAGGAGGTGAAACTGGTCATTTGGCTACTGCAGCATCGTGTGCCTGTGGTCAGGTCTGGTGTAGATGTTGGCCCAAGTTAGTTGTTTGTTGGTTTTGATGAAGATGTGTTCGATCTCCACGTAGTTGACAGCTTCTGTGCCATCACTCAGAAACATGATAGTTGGGCTTGGATGCTGTTAATGCATACGCTGTTCCTCGCTGCTTGTGTTGTGGGCAGAAGAAACTCAGCACACGTGTGTGGAGGTGTATCTGTAAGGATCTGCAAGCATGCCTACGGCTCGGGGCGCGATCTGCAGATAAGGCAGGGCCTTTGTGTGCTTGCAATTCTGTGAAAACGAGCAATGTTGGGTAAATCTGTTTGGGGAATGGTACAACAAAAGCTTTATGACTAATGGCATCAGCTAAAAATCATCTTGTTTGTGCAGGTTATGTTTCAGAGCAGTGAATGCCTGGCACTTTGTAGCACTTTATTAAATGCTTTATTGTAAAATAACATTACTGTTATGGACGTGATGCTAAGTTCTGTACTCTTCTCCCCTTGGGAGACCTTTGTTTTCAGCTCAGATACGTATTCCTGCTGAAGTGTTGCTATCACCAGTTTATTCTGCTTCAGTTTTGATTAGCTTAATTGTCCCATGGAAATTTGCCTGGAATGACGATGGGAGTGGCAGCAGGTAACCGTTTCCTGGATGGCAGCTTTAAGATTTGCTCTTTATTGCTCCTTGTTGGTCTCCAGGCTGATTCCGAATTTGGATCATATAGTCCTTCTTGTAAATACTTCTAAGAGGCAACATTTCTTTTTTGGAAACTTTGTTCTTGCCTTCAGTGGTGACAGTGTTTCACTGTATTTTCAATTCATCTGTCTCTTATGTCCTTGGCTGCCTTTTCTGCTTAGTTCTTCCTATAAGCTCATAGCATCACAGCATAAATATATTAACAGCTACTGAAATATATATGCATTTGGTTTGTGTCAAGAATACTCACATAAATAAGGATTTGCTAGATCAAGCCTCTCAGAGCTGACCTAATTTTCAGTTTTAATCAGGTTACAAAAGATTTCAATACATGTTTCATGTTTTAGAAGGGTTAACAAGTGAGGAGATTTTGGACCCCATCCCCAGCTGGTACGAGCTGGCAGTGACGTTGTGACCTGGCAGCGCTGTCACTTGAGGAGCAGGGAGAGGCCTCAGCTCTAGACCGCACCACACATGTGAAGAAACAAAACCGAGGCAGGCTTTGCTGAGAGCTTTGTGCTGTACGAGGGCGGATAAATGGTAACAGAAAATGACAAAAAACCTAAGAGGTGAGGTGGGGACTTGTGTGAAGAGGGCTGGTGGGCACAGCTGGGAAGCTGGGCTTGAGCATGAAGCCCAGGCCCAAGCTACCTTGGCAGCAGCCATGTAACCGGTGGGTTTAGAGATGGCTCGTGCCACAGAGAGCACCTAATTCAGCCCCCCACCTCCCCCCCAAAAAAGGTGGCTCCACAGGAGCCATCTTCTGTGGAAAAGAGCAGCGAGAAGAGATGAGACGTGCTGGGAGCTGTTGCCTTTGCTAATGGCCCTAATAGCGAGGGAGCTTCTGCAGCTCCTCCCTGAAGTGCTGCTGCTGGGAAGGAGGCGGATTTGGTGGGAGGGACCCTGTCGTATGGAGTTAATTGAATAAGCTGTTCGTCTTCTAAGTGCTCATCCAAACTGGGCTTAGTGGCTCTCCGGAGATGTACCCAGCACCAGCTATGGAAATCCTTCTGCAGCAGAGCCTCAGATTACCCCTGCCTTTTGTTATACAGTGCTTTTTTTTTTTTTTTTTTTTTTTTAATCCAGTGCCTTGCCTTGTATTAATCATTTTCGACAAATTCCCATGTTGTTTTCCTGCTGTGTAAATTCCCGTGCACTATCTGGGCGTGCATATTTTAGCTTACTGCGGCCTTGTAAGAGCAGTAAACGAGGCCTCATTTCCCTGCTTTAACTTTATGGGCAGGCTGGCACGGTGATTTAGGCACCGGAGGGAAGCGGTGCCCAAATTCCTCCGTCAGTTTGAACCAGATGGCAGCTCTGCTCTGTGCAGCTTCGTAGCAAGGGACAGTGGTGCCCCAATAGCTGTGGGTTCCACAGCACTGGTCATCAGTGGTACAATTTTACTGTTTGCACAATGCTGTGAGCACAAATACATCAAGAGAACGGACATCTCGGAGAGGCTGGGGGGCTCCTCGGATCAGGCGTGAGTGCATGGTGGGCTGCCAGCCGTGGGCAAGGAGGTGGGAGAGTCACAGCAGTGCTTCTGGACTGAGGAGAGATCTCTTACAGGCAGCACGTGTTACTTTCTCAGGCATGTATTTCTTTTAGGTGCAGCATTTTAATAGTAGGAACTCTGTGTAATGCAAGAAATGAATGGTGAGAAAGCTCTCAGCTGCTTCTAGGGATGGATCATGGACCTGCTCTTGGGAAGAAGCAGACTAAGTGTGACTCATTGTCAAGAGGGAAATAAGGCTGCTGAAGGGAACACTGAGATGATCTTCCAATACTTGTATCCAAGGGAAGTCACTCTCTGTGGTGACCAAATTTCCTGATGCAGGTCAGTAAGGTTTCCAGTGAACAGAGGGCAGGATTATTTACACTGCTCTCAAGAGGAGCAGAGGTGAAAATTAGCAGGTATCTGAGAGGGAATCTGCTGTACGTACGAGGCAATGCAGTGCAGGCTCTGACACCAGGATGCACAAGCCGATCTATGTGGATAATACGAGTTTTTTTCTTTTTGATTTTAGAATCAACCTTGTCCTATGTTAGGCAGCTGGAGGCAAGAGTAAGACAGCTGGAGGAGGAAAATCGCATGCTGCCCCAGGTGGGTGACTTCTGCTGGTGGGAACAGTAGCTGGCAGCTAGACAGCAATGCCTGAGTCTGCGTGCTTGGGATGAAACCAGTATCACGGGTCATTTAACGTTACTGCATTTGAACACTCAGGCTGAGCCTGTGGGGAATCAAAGGCACTCACATCTCTTGTTCATCTCGCTTGTGACTGAGGGGTGTATTTATTGAAGACTGTGACAATACTTTCATTCATTTTTCTTCTTTGCAGGTGTTGATACCTTGCTAAGAAAAATTCACTAGAAGCCACTACTTATAGCTGAAAATTAATTTAAGGGTTGAAAATTACAGTGATCTGGGCCCTTACATTCTGGTTTTATTGCAAGATCTTCTTGTTATTTAAAATATCCAGTGTTTTTTATAGTTAACCAAAATATTTTGCTGTAAAAAACAAATGTTTTAATAATAATTGAGTTATATTAGCAATATTTTGGAGAATATATTAGATATATAAACACAAGACTGAAATTAAATCAGATAAATAAGCAAATCTGAAGTTAAACGTTTTCCCAGTATGTTTTTAAAAATAAAAATGTAGCAGTTCTGTAAGAGTGAATCAAAGACACTTTTATATATATCTTTATGCATACATAACAGTGCGTATTTCTACCGTATTTCATTAAGTAATCACTATGAAAATCCATAAAGTCTACAAATGAAGTTGCCCACTGGAAGAAAAAAGTTGCATGTTGTTTAAATCAAACACTAATTTAAATGAAGATACTGGTCTGAAGAACACAAGTGCTTTTTATTGAACTTAAAGTACTGTCATCTGAATGTAAAATTCAAGACAAAAGTGAATCCACGGATTCAGATTTATCGATGTGTATCAGCCCAAATGCCAGTCCATTAGGGAGATTTCAGCTGGGTTAACCAGTTCCTTCCCTTGGGCAAATTTTAAGTCAACTTTTCTTCTTGCCTGTAGTATGACAATTGGAAAGGCCTCTACAGCTCTGGTTTTGCTCTTGACTTGCTATGCAACCACAAGCTATTTATGTAACTTCTCTGCGCCCTCGTTTGCTGATCTGGAAAAGAAGGACAGAAAGAATAGCTGAGTGTCTACCATTAACACCTAGACAGTCTTCAGTTGAAAGGCAAAGGCTAATCCTGTGATAAAGAATATTATTTTCTTGTCAAAAAAGGTGTTCAGGGCAAATGTCAACAAACTCGCATGAAAAATAGCATTGAGCCTTGGTTTAGGTCTGGGACAGCAATGGGAGATAAATTGTGCAGAATTTCTCTGTGGGCAACAGTTTTTTACAAGTGACCTCGTGTTTTATTTGCCTAGGGTTTGAGGTGCTCAGGTGGAGCCCCGTGAAATGTGTTACCTGATCTTGCCAGAGACTGGGACACCCACGCTGTGGATGTTGAGTTCATTGAAAACCTTAGATGGGATGCCAAAACCAGAAAACAGGGCTTGTGAAAATAGTGAAATAGCCCATGAAAACTGAAACACAAAATGATTGTTGTGGGGCTTCACGGGGGAAGAAGCGGGTGGCCAAGGCTCGCAGACTGCTTTTTGGTTTAGATACACAGGCTGGAGTTTGTCCTGTTTGGTTTTGGTTTTGTTGGCACCAGCATCTGAGGTAGAGTGCTGAAGTTTCCTGACGTCTCCAGACACTTGTTTTGAGGAATAACGAGTGGCATGGGCTCACAGTGCCTAGCACACCTCACTCCCTGTTCCTCCTGAAGAAAGGCATTGCTCTGGGGAGAGGAAGGCCCACAGACATCAGGCTTATTCTGCCCTGGCTCTCCATTATGGCAGCATTACCTGTGCATGAGTTCCTTCTGGGGCTCTGCCGTCCCTGTGCCCACCACCCCGACCAGCTATCGGCTCGTCGGCCCCGCCACGGAGGCAGGGACACAGGGTGGGAATGCCAAAGCTCCTGGTGCTGGTTCTGCTCCCCTGAATGGGAGGAATGGGAGCCCATTAGGCTTCAGGCCAAACCGAGTGCTTTGACAAATCAAAGCTGAGAATAGGCGGCGAGTTGCACAACTGGAGAAGGTTTTTGGCACAGCTCTTACGCAGCCACAGCGCGGTGCCTCTCAGTGTCACCGGTAAGGGTGCTGCCGGCTGTCAGCACAGCACCAGCGGTGGTGTTGAGGGGCTGCGGGAGGTGCAGGGCTGCTGGGGGGCAGCTCCTAGCCTGTGCTATGCTTTTCTTCTCTCCTCTCTCCTTTGTGTCCTTTCTTTTCCCCCCTTTCTGCTCATGTCACCCATGAAAATGCACCGGCACACTTACTTCGGGTAAACCTCTCCTTCCATCTGCACTTCACCGTGGTTCTTTTTTCCTGTATGTTGCTTTGCTTCTCTCAACCCATACATATGAGTTCTCTTTTCAAAACCCCACAGACCTCTAGTGTAAAGGTTTTATTAGTATTTAGTGGCAAGAACGTCTCCAGAGGAAATGGTTTTAAGTGGTGCCATCACCGTTCGAATGGGAGCTCAGCTGGCTCTGCCCTACTGAAGGACTTCCCTGTCCGGGGAGGTGCAGCACCACCTCTCAGCCAATATTTTAGTTTAATCAGGTAACAGGAAGGGTATAAAGGGCACATACTCACTTAAGCCTGTCAGTTTGTCTTCCCGTGCTGCAGATTTGTTCTGGTGATGGTTTATAGCATAGAAACATGGGTTAGGAGTTGTGAGGAGCCACAGATGGATGTAGGTGAGCTCGGTTGGGGAGGGCAGCCGTTAGCTGTTCTTGTCTTCTCTTCCTTTCTTTTCCTCCCTCCCAGATAGCACATAACAAGATGTGATCCAGACCCTTTTGGTTTCTGGCCACAAATAGTTTTTTTTTGTGCAATAAAACAGATCCTTTCCAAGATTTATGGCACACAGCTGGGTCTTCTGGTGAGAATGCCAAGGTGGGAGACAAGGGGCAGAGCGCACAGCTTGCACTGGTGCTTCTCAAGCACTGGTGTGGGTAGCAGCAGTGTAGGGGCAGCAGGATTTGAGCGACGTGTCTGTTCTGCTGGACGGGTTTCAGGCCAGAGTAGTGCCCCCTGGCAGTAGGGCAGGAACGGCTCCTTGCAGCCCAGGGCTCTGCCGCTGCCTCGAAATGGACACAAAGCCCCAGCGATGCTGTTTGGCTGCTGACAACCAAAAAGCTGCACGATGGTATGGCTGGTGCTGCAGCCAGAACAGGCTGCGGAGCACATGGTAATGAAGATACCCAGCGATAATTAAGAAAATACGTAAGGACCAAACAATGGATTCAGATCCCAGTTACAGCTCCCTGGGCTGTGCTAGAGCTGAGTTACCAGGGCAAATAATTCCAGATAACTGAAACCAGGAGAGGCCTTCCAGACTGCACGTGGTGCGTAGCTGCTATCCCTGCCTTACGCTGGTGGAAGGGAGACTGGGATCTGGCATCCACATGGCAATTAGCTGAAGATAGTCCTGGGTTTTCTGAGGGATAGTATTTCAGGGCTGATAAGCTCAGCTGAAACGTTACGGAAATGTGGACATCTGTCATATAATGACAGTGAATGCATTTGCAGAAGGTATTCTTGGCAAGCCACCCAGCTTAAATTGCTTCGGTTTGTATTTGCTTCATGGGAGGAGGGAGCACGAGGTAGAGATGGAAAGTTGAGATGTTTTCCCTCGGCAAACTCCTCGTCCTAGTAATTTAGCAGGACCTCTTAATGAAGGGGAGAAGTACCGCCAGCACATGGCCTCTTGAGCAAAGAAGCCGTGTGGGTCCATGGGGCTGGAGGCTGCCCGCAGGATGCTGAACGCGCAGGGGGACATCCGCAGCCACAGGGCAGGGGTGGTGCAGGCTGGAGCTGAGCTGCTCTGCTCCCTTTCACGGGCACGTTTCTGCCTCTGCTTCCTCTTTCTTCCTGATAGGAGTCTTGGTGCTTTTCCATCCCCTTCTGTTGCAGCTCCTTTTCCAGCGTTGCTTCAGGCACTTTTTCTTTTTTCTTGTTTTCCTTCCTGTGTCCTTGCTAGCCTTTTCCAGTCCTTGTGTATTTAAGTGTGAAACAGCAGGCATGACCCTTAGGCACACACTGGTTTATTTTTAAGCATTTCCAGTGCTTTCCCTTTTTCTTCCCCCTTCTGTTAGAGTATTACATTTTATTTCAACCTACATTTCCAAATCTTTCAAACCCCTTTTTGCTGAGATCTGTATTTTTGATTTTCCCTCTACATGGCCTGGTTTTAGCTACGAATCTAATTAAAAGTTGGGAACCGCTTGGTTAGTGTTTTTGTGCGTGTGTAAGATCTGTGTCACGCACAGTCCGATGCCGGTTATCTCCTCCCTTTAGCAGCGTGTAGAAGAACAGAGAATCCTTCAACCAAAGGGTAATTACACCCACTGAACTAATCACGTCATCAAATATTTGCTGAAAGTAAATCAATGGCATCCCTCCACCCTGTGCTTTCATGTCGTGGCATCCCTGCTTTAAATTCACGGGTCCCTTTCGGCCCCTTGGCAGTCAGAGCACGCTTGGGGTGTGCCATGAGGACACGTGGATTTGGGTGGCAGCATGCACAAGGGGAGGTTCCTGCAGTGGTCTGAGAACAGGGCTTGCCATGAATAACCACAGCATTTTAAAGCTGACGGGGTTGTTCCCTAGAAAAATCGTTGCTGATTTGCTTGGTGCGTTAGTCCTTCAGCAGAGCACCACGCTGTACTTTATCACTTTTGTTTTCCCTTTCTCCTGCCTGTTTGAAAGAAGCTAACAAATACAGCTTGTATTTTATTTTTTTTTTCCTTTTTTCTTTTTTTGCAAGCTAACAGGGAAATTGAGGGCTGGGGAAATTGGAAAAAAAGCTTTGAAAATCAGGTGGTGATTGAAGCGGGCTGGCAGTTCCGCAGCAGGAAGGATGTACTTCCCCAGGAAACCACTTGCCTCTGGGATAAAAGGCTGGTGCAGGACGAGGCGGCTGCATTTGCTGAGGTCTCCTTTGGTGCAGGGATGGAGCCGTGCTCAGTGGACAGGGGAGCTGTGTCTTCTCCAGGCGTCGAGAGGTGGCTGCAGGTGTCCTTGGGGCAGTTGTGGATGTTTTTTTCTCTCCTTGTCTATCCCTGCGTGCCGTGGGGAGGTGGCAAGTCAGGCAGCAAGCAGTGTGCTTCCTTCTCCCCCTCTGTCAGGGCTGGCGGATGAGCTGCCCCTCCCTGGAGCCACTCTTCGTGCTGCAGCAGTGTTGGTTCGTGACTGTCTGTATCAACAGCATGGGCTGAAAATACGGTGCTCTCCACTGGCTCGAGAAGAAAGGCTCGTGGTTAGTTCCCTCCATCAAAGAGTGCCCTGTTCTGCACAGGGGTCTTTATTGTGCCCACGAGCAGGGCCCAGCACAGGGTTTGCCTCTGGCGCTGTGGGAGCACGGCCTGAGCGTCCCTAACATTTCGCAGGCAGTGCAAGGAGATGCTGGATTTCCATTCATCTGATTTTTTTGTAATGTGGTATTATGGGGTTGAGTCAGATTTCCTGTGCTTCCTATTCACTGAAGAGTTGCATATTGGCATTGGATGTTTTGTAGATCTACTTACAACAGAAAATGGATGTGCATGTTTAGTGATTGCACTTCTCTGCCTCTTATCTCTGTGGCAAAATGTACGGAGGATGTTTTGTGGTTTTTACCTGCTTCGGACAGTGCTTTCTGCAGCCCCATAACCTGCACACAGGACACATTAGGCTCAGAGGAAGGAATGTCCAAAGCTTGCTGTAGCCTGGGCAGAAGGGCCAGGCAGGGGCAGTAGGGAAGGCTGGCAGTGTAGGGTGAGCAAAAAAAGTCAATTCTTTGATGTTGACCTTGTGTAGCCTTGTTTATTCAGAATGATTCACGTTGTTTAAAGTCAAAGGAGCCACGACTTGATCCTTTCTGGCTGATTCAGTCCCACTTCCACAGCTTCGCTCCTTGATAATGAATGAGGAGATCTGTCCAAAACGTGTGGGCACGTGGGGTGCCTACTTTGAGTGGCCGAGTGCAAGTGCTCTGTGGGGTCAGAGAGGAGGAAGGGAACAGGTTTCTGCTCCTGTCTTCAAGGTCCTGCTCAGGGTCCAGATGTGATCTGGGTCAGGCAGTGGTGGAGAAGGGAAACTCAGGTCAAGTTTTGCAGGAAGGATAAGCGCTGCCATACTCCCCGCTGGCAAGCGGCGGCTCTGATGGATAGGTCTGAAAAGCACACTCTTCAGTCTCCTAAGGCATCTTGTTTTCAGACATCACCACATTGGCAAAGTGCCTCTTCCTCTTGTTTTGCCTCACTGCCTTCAGAAACTCATAATGCAGCCAGCAATGCTGCAATGTCTGCGGACTCGAGGGACCTCAGGAGGAAGAACAGCCCCATGCTCACTCTGGTGCCACAGTCCCGTTGGAACAAGCTTCCTCCAAAGAAGGCAGAAGCTCTGCCGCCCTTGTGGGGTGGCCTCACTGGGATGAGAAGTCCCTGAGCTGCAGCATGGGGCTTCAGGGCTGCAAGACTTGCCTTACTTCTTAAGAAAAGCTTATGTCTCTTATCAAGGACGGAAGCAGGTAATCCAGAGGGCAAGTGCTACCTTTCAGTCTCCTACCAACGTGTTGAGAACACTGCTTAAAGCAGTGTGTGCACAACAAGTTCCCCATCCTCACCAAGGGAGACAGAAGTGTGCTGCCTGTGGCGCAGAAGTGGCTGTGGAGGAGACGTGCCTGGAGGAGGTCCTGAGCTCTTGACAGCAGCACAAGTCACAGGAGTGTGATTTTCTCAAATTCAAGTTGCTTTAGGTACACAGTCTGCACCAATTTTCCCAGCATCTCGATAACAATATTTATATTTTACAATTCAAAATTGCATAAAATCTTTGCTGGCCCTGGAGTCAGTAAAAAATAAAATAAAATCAGAATGCTTTGACTCATTAAGAAAACCCCAAAGCTGACTGAGGGAAATTCTCCCAAACCAGAATTGCTCCAATCTGCTTTATTACCCCTTTTCCTTCCTCTTTCATTTCCTTTCCCAAAGTATAGCATTAAGCCTGCCCAGTCACCGACAGATCTATAAATCCTTCCCGAAGAAGAGTCCTAATGCTCCCTCAGAGATCACAGCAAATTGGTAACAGCCGCTGCCGGGAGGAGCTGCGGGACGATGCAGTGCCAGGGCGTGCTGCTCAGCTGAGACCCCCGGCTCACGCCGCAGCCACTGCTTGCCGGGAGGGAGGCTCCACAAGACAAGTTTGTGTACCAAGGCGGGTTTCATATTCAGACTCAAGATACCTTTTCCGTGGGCTTAGCACGTGTAGCATGCTATGTTTTGGATTGCTTTCAGGGTTTTTGAACAGGTGGGGTTCAGCCCTGCAGTCTGGGTGCAGAGCAATGGGGTCGAGCCTACTGAGCTCAGTAGCTGCGATGTGCCCGGGGTCGTGCCTCTCCCTCGGCGCTGCTTCCAAACTGCTGTGTCCTGACAAGGTCCTGCGCAGCTCACATAGTTGTTTTGGACAGGGGAGACGGGATCTGTGAAATTCAGCCTCATGCCATCTCTGTTCCCTTTTTCTCCCCCATCCGCCTTCATCATTCCTATTGTTTAGGTTCCAGACACCCCCAAAGAGACTGTGATGTGCTGTGTGCTGCTCTGCAGGGCAAGTGAGTGCATGTGGGGGCACTGATTCTGATCAGAGGCTCTTTCCACTGCCATTAGTTTCTTTCAGAAATGCATTTCCCATGTGTTCCTGCAGGAATTACTGCTGCATTACTTTTTAATGTTTCCTGCGGTGTTTGATTCCGTACGAAAGGCAAGTTTCCTCTCTCGCTTTGAAATGTTTGTTTTCTTATCCTTTACCTTTCTCATTTTCCAAACCCAAATCTGCATGGAGAGTGACAGTGAAGGATGCCCTCAGAAGAGCAGGTCAGGTTGCAAGCACCTCGGCAGCAGCTGTGTGGGTGCAGGTCTCGCAGCGCTGTCGGAGCTCAGCCTGTTCTTAGCATCCACCGGAGCAGGCAGCTCGCTCGGGTTACCCCCTGGTCCCTCCAGAAAGTGCCTTGCATCCTGTGAAGCACAAGGTGACTGAGCTGCAAGGGTTTAGGCACCTCGTGTTGGTGTGGCGGTGTCCTGCAGAACCCTCCCAAGCTGTCACTGGGAAGAAAAAGCCCTTTGGGTTGGCAGAGCTTGGGACAAAACCCCGGCCCAGGTGAGGGGGGAACACTGCCCAGGGCAGCCAGAGCTGGGGGAGGAGTGCTCCCTGCTCCCAGCTCCTTCCCCACTCGGCTGCGGCTGTGCTCGCACTGCAAACTCTGCAGCACTGTTTAAAAAGGTTCTGTGACTTTTGTGGGAATAACGACCTCCAAAATTGTCGGGCTGAAGTTAAACGTTCTCAAAAACCTTTCTCTGGCGCCAAAATCGTCTCTCGGAGCCTCGCAGTACTTCTGTGAGGAAGCATACTGAAATTGTATTGCTGTGCCCTGATTTTCCAGGTAGATGCCCTTGAGGGCCAGAGTGTTTGAGAGATGCTCAACAGTGGTGCTTGAGCTGCCTCTCGGGGATGTTGGTTACTGTGGCACAGAAAGAGGGTGACTTTGGAGTAAAACATGCCGTCAGTGCTTCTCAGCATTATAACAAAAATGACATGTTTTAATTAGTTACCAACCCTTTTCTTTATTAAATAGTCTTTAATCTTTTGCGAAGGATCCCATTAAGATGCCAGGAGGGGCGGAGGGGAGTTACTGCTCAGCAAACGAGCCAGCTAGCATCAGTGGACATGGCTCAGCCTCTCAGCAGTCTGAATCAGTGGTAAATGCTCTGAAGGTAACGCCTCTCCGGTACAGTCCATGCAAAACGTCGTGTCTGTTACTCAACTCGTGTCGTATTGTCCTGGCAACATTCCTGTGGGCACCACTGGGATGTTGCTGTCATCAGCGGGATTGTTTTTTCTGTTTGTCACTCATCGCATCTGTGGGCTGTGTGTTCCTCGGGGCAGGGGGCAGGCCGGCACCACGGGGGCGATGCCGGCTGTAGCTTCTCTCCGAATCACTTTGCACTGCCTTTGTTGGAAGATGAAAGCGGTGTTTTTCTGAATAAGCAAGTCTTTTACTTCGTCTAGGATGCATACTTGTTCTCCAGTGAAGTACTATGGATTGCTGTAACCCGTACAGAGAAAACCTTTAATGCAGACATGAAGCCAGCATGCGTGGTACACTCATAACGACAGCAGAGCTTTGGGCTGAAGGCCATGCATCGTCATCCTGAGGTCTCTGTTGAAATTTCCATGAGAACAGCTGGAATTACTCTGAAGTCAGGGCTGGATTGCCCAGACCTAGGTTGTTTTGCTACACAGCAATTAATGCAGACACTCAGAGGGGCAAATTCACCAGTTCTTACCTATGACAAATGTGAAACTGTTGCAATTAATGACACTACAAAAGCTGTTCGGAGGTGCAGTGGTTTAGCAGGTGATGGCAATCACCACCAGGCTGAGTTCACAGCCCAGTGCATGTGCCTCAGGCTCCTCTGGGGAGGGATCCAACCCCCTGGCAGCCTGAGCAGGGCTCTGACATGATCGTTTTCTGGTGCTTCTCGCAAGTCTTCTCACCTGTGTTATCATCATTTGCTAAACTTGAATATTCATTTGGTTAAGCGGGTGTTACTCCCCTCTTCCACAGACGTCGTAGGGACATGCTGCTTACTAGGAGGACAGAGGTTTGCACTCCATCAGGGAAGAGCTGGAAGGGGCATCTGTAGGGATTCACTCTTTTTTTTTTGGAGCTTCTTGGAGATGCACAGAAGAGCTCAGTAGAACTGCTGACTCGTCTGGACATCCACTTGTGTGGATGGTGATCATCTGCAGGTAGCTGGGTGACGTTGCCTTTTCCATGAAGCCTGTGGACATAGGTTTATGTAGGTGCCCTGTGCGCAAATCACAGCAATCAGATCCTTTCCTGTAACATCAAACCAGGGTGCAGGGCTTCACCACAGCCTCCTCACCTCTGTTAATCCAGCATCTGAGTGGGGGGAGCAGTGCCAGCCTCGCCTCAACCAGGAGAGGTGTGACCCAGCTCCCTGCTGCTGAGCAGCGCTCAGCGTCCTGCCTGCACCTCCCATGTATTTCACCTGCTGTTGCCTAGAAAAAAAAAAAAAAAGCCATGCCAAGTAATTTTGCCAAGAGAGCACATGTATCTGTTGGAAAAAGCCTTTTGTAGTTCTCTTAAAATGCCCATTGGCAAAGGCACTTTGCTGAATGGAACATTTAACAACATGCTCTTGACAGCCTGTAATAGCTGGTTAGTGGAAGTGAAATATTTGAACAATGGCTGATACCTTGCTTGCTGAAATGGATTGATAAGAGGTACATGGAATTTAGTTCAATATGATGTGAAATCTCAGCTTTTAGTTTGCTAGGAGGTATTGCAGCAGGCAGAAATAGATATAAATGATATGGTTATATTTGAAATGGAAAGTGAGCTGTCAGCTAAACAGACTGCCCGACCTGCCCGTCCTCAGCCAGCGAGGAGATCCTGCTGAGGAGAGGCACGGGGGCTGGATCCTGCCTTTCTGGGGAATGCAGAGCTGCCATGTGCTTCAAACAACTGAATGAGATGCATGGGGAAGAATGAGCCCAAATCAGGAGCTGGGTTTTCTTTACAAATGTGGCTGGTTAGATTCTTGGGAAAAAAAAAAAAGTGGTGGGGAGGAGGAAGATGGGCTTTGTTACAAAACTTCGGTGTTATGCAGTCTCCTAACACACAGCAAGAAAGGTAAAATCTTAAAAGAAACAAAAAAACTTGCATGTCAATCCCTCATTGCTGGAAGCAAGGCTGAAAGAGTGCAAAGAGCCAAACAGCCCGTCTGGTAGAGGCTCGTCTGTGACCCGATCCGTCACAGAGTGCTTGAAAGAAGAAATTCCCTGAGTCTCGCGCTGCGGCTGCGACTTGGCCACCTTCCCACGCTGCCGGTGGCTGTGGGATCGTTCCCTGTGTGCCAGCGATACCACCAGGGATGGATTAGCAGCCCTTGTGTATGGCAGGGCACGTTTCTCTCCCTCTTTGTGAGTTGTGCACGACCAAAGTGCACGCTTGTGTGTGGGGATGTGCGTGTGCTAGTCCGTGCTCTTCACGGACCAGGGTCTGTGTTGATGGAGTGATGCCAGACATCCTATCTGACTGCCCCAATAACCAAGGGCAAAGGCTTAGCTGCAAACCTCGCATCAGGTTTTCCTGTCCTGCGTTCAGCGTAGCCTACTGCAAGCTCCACTGTGCCATCTGCAAATTAACGGGAGGTGTCGTTTAATCAGAGGCAAGGTCTGAGGCTAAGTGTAGGAGTTGCTGCAGAAAAGCGAGTGTCCTGTGATGCCTGGGAGGTCAGGCAGGAAGATCTAATGATCTCTCCTGCCCTGAAATGCAGAGTACTGTAATCAGTCTAATTATCTTTAAATGCAGTTGGACAGTTACATGTGCATGTCTGTACTCAGGAAGGACCTGTGAAAGCTTAAATATACTACTGCTCTTATTTGTGGCTGAGAAACAAATTGCTACAATGCCTTTTTTCTTTTTTAAAACATACCCTTGTCTCGGAAGCTCAGGAAAACATAAATCAGCAGGTTGGTAAAGACGCTTCTCACTGCCTCTGTGAGACAGAAAAAAATGTGGCTGGAGAAGTGTGTGTGTAAGCCTAAAGTGTTTAATTTTGTATGCCATATTGAGCCTGTTTTAATAGGAACACAATAATTTTAACACGTTGGTCTGTATTTATTAGAAAATTCTATGTGTGATAATGTATTAGGGATAAATTACTGTATGAGTCAGCTGACCTGAATTTATCCTTCAGAAGAATGAAATTTGGCAAACATGAAGTCTGGCAGCCTCAGTTTCCCCATGCGTTTAAAGGCCCGTATCTGTTGCCCATGCTATTTCTTTGCAATTTACGGGTAAAAAGCATTTTTTAACTAATACATATTTAATAGTCTATAAAAGTTCTCAGGATATAAGTAAAGCCACTTCTAAAATGCTAGTATGCTAAACTTGACATTATCAACTCATTTTTGTAAATCCCAAATATATACTTGTCCTTCTGCCTTGTCCCTTTGTTCCCCAGCCATCCAAGGCTCTGCCACTGGCATTGAAACGCTGCCTTTTCTTCCAACTTTATGATCTAGGTCCGATTTGACTATGGGTATATTATTAGACCTTTAAAATAGTTGGTTATTTCCTCCCTGGTTTTGCTTTTTCTTATATTCGTCTAGTCTCTGTTAAAAGAACAGTGGAGTTGTGATGAACTAATTATAATGTTTCTTTTCTCTTTTGCATCCTCATTACAGTTTCTTCCAGTTTGTAGCTCGCTGTTTTGCTCCAGCTTCATGTGCTGCGGGTTTTTGTTTGCATGAAACATTTGCCACAGCATCGCTTTGCCTGTGAAAGCAGTGGAATGATGACAAGTTTGATTTGGGGCTCCATAATTTTGGTGCATAGTCTTCGTGGGTACCAAATGCAATTTGGATGCATAACTCATGTTGTGTGGTTCTTCATGAACGTTTTATCAAGATAATGGCTGTGGGAATTTTCTCCTCAGGATGTGCATATGGTACTTACACCACCTCATCACGGCTTATTTGAGAATGTTTTTGCTTTGTATTTATACACTTGCAGTGTCCTAGGAGAACGTAGCAATATATAGCAGCAGGCTTGGAGGTAGTTTATCATGTGGTAGTGAGTGTGGAGGTACTTCCAAAGCACAGGGACGTCTGGATTAAGTATGGAGAGGGGTTCTTCGTGATTTTCCTCAGGTGACTGGTAAGTTGTGTTCACAGGGCTGCAGAAGGCTCACTGGGACTGGGAGCCGAAGGGAAGGTGGGATATGCTGTGTGGGGCTGGTGCAGTAGCTGGGCAGGGGAGTCAGGGAGCCCAGAGATCAGCACAATTATTTAATGCAGCACATGAAGTACTGCAGCCATCAAACGCTGCCGCTGCCTGCGGGTAACGTAGCTGCTCCCGTCTGCAGTTAGGGGGCAGGTTTCCACCTGGCTTCCAGGGAGATTTCTCCATCCTTTCACCTTGGTGTGTTGGAAGGAAGCCAGAAGTGAATCACCATGACGCTATGGAGAACGTCATATCCCTTGTTCAGGAAAGGCTTCTGCTAAAATATTGAGTGAAGTCTTTGGTACTGAACTTTATATTCTGTCAAAAGTATTTAAAACACATTCAGGAATGCTCAGGTGTTACATTTTCTCTTGAGTGCTTGCAAGCACAAAGTAATTTCATTAGTGCTGCATGTGACAAGTCAGCGTTGAACTAGTGAGCTGAGAAGAAAGCAAGCTTATGTGCAAATCCAAAATGCATATGCAACGCGGAGGCCAAACAAACGTGTGTGCAGGTGGCAGCAATATGTCCAGCTATCATGCCTATGCAAAGAACAGTACATTTGCTAGCACAGAAGGGGAGTTTGATGATAAATCTGCAGAAATTTAGCTTATATCACCCTGTGTTTCTGAAAAGGAGGCAAATAAAATTACCGTGATGCCTTCGAGATCCAGGTTTCTTTTGCACAGAGCAAAAGTGGTTGTTGATACAGATTTCTGTTTCCTACTCACAAAAATGGCACGGATGTTTCCTTTGACCCCACCTTGTCAGTTCTGCTTAAGATACCAGCTTTTCAGGGCTGTCTTGTATGCCTTTGTCCCTTCCTAGCAATCAGGGGTCACTTGTTCAGCTGGAAATGAAGAACTTTAAGAAGTGTCACCTTTTAGTTTATTTTCATGTCAGCATGAGCTGCTTGGTAAATATTGCCTAATGTTTATTGACCAGGAAAATTGTTGAAAGGCGTATCTGCACGACGTGCCTTCTCACAGAGGCATTCAGGTGGCCTCACCTTTCGGTTAGGGGCTAGGAGCGTCGGTGGCCAAATGTCAGAAACTCCTGTCTCATCAAAGCCAGCCGACAAAGGGGCTGCTTTCCCATCCCTTGCACAGAATAACAGTAGGACCTTGGGGTGGTTCTGCCGTAACTTGACAGCTCTAGGAACTGGGGCTCGTGTCTTTTCAGGGTGTCAGCTTCCCAGGATCCAGCTGCTTTGCGTTTGTTCAGTGCCAGGGAACGCAACCTGTGTTTCACTCCTTGGCTTTAGGCACTGTTAAAATACACATAATTAATGGCAATGGAAATCAGTTTTTGCTTTTCTCAAGACGTTGTAGCGTTGCTCCAGGGACTGAGTGGTTTCGTAGTAGTTCTACTTTAGCTGGTTGCTAGTTGATGACGATTATTAAACAGAGGGAATGTTAAATTGCACTGCGCAGTGTGGTGGTGGTCACCTCTGCTCTTGGTGGCCCTGGAGGAGGTGCCCGCTGATACAACACGAGCTGCTCATCCTCCTGCTTCTCACTGGGACATCTCTTTTTAAGTCGTTATAAAACACGTTCCAGAATTCCTTTTTGGTATGATTTCTCTGCATTTTTAATTCCATAATTGTAAAGCGGGTGTTATGCAGTCATGAATGGGAGCAGATGTAAGAGGAAGGAAATCTTTCTAACAGACAGTCCCTGCTAAGGAAAAGGTGGGTAACTTTTACCGAGTGGGAGATCTCATTTGGACAAAACACACAAGCATGTACGGGACAGTGACCACATGCACAATTCCTGTGAGCTCGAGGAAGAACGAATGAAAACAGACGCTTTTAAAGCCTTGCTGATTTTAAGAGAACAAGTAAATCCGTTGTAATGAGCAGAACTTCTTTGTGCTTATCGAACTGGAAATGTTTAGACTCCTCTGGACTGAGTTTTGTGCTTCTGAATTGTGTTCTGCAAGAGATGTGGCTTGGGAAACGTGGAACCAAGTTTCAGTTGAGGCCTGTAAATGCCCTCAGCCTTGTGTCTGAAGCATAAAACACCTTGGTGATGCACGTGCTAGTTCATCCGTCTCCATTTCTAACCATTTTTAGAGGCATGTGCTTTCCGTGTGCAGCAAGAATGTTGTATCTCTCGAGAAACACTTTTCCTGGTCCGTGTCCCTCCCCTGCCCCTACATGTGCTGCATGGGCTGCGCAAGGAGCGCGGGGCGCCTCCGCATGCATGCCTGGATCCATGCCGCGTGCCACCCCCGCTGCTAACGGGCTCTCTTTCTGTCCCTCCCTTTAGGTTGTGTGGAGGAAACTTGGAGATGCTGCAGGGTCGTGCCCTGGAATTAGACAACATTTGTCAGGAAATCAGTATAAAGGACCTATGTAACAGGCCCCAAGCACATCCTCTCTCTGAAGAGAAAGAGTTCGATCTGCTGGCAAGAGACAATGACCTGACTGTGTCCCCAGCGCTGTCCCAGCTGGTGACGGGGTGGCTCCATGCGCTGCACGAGACTTCGCTGGGAGCCAGTGGAGATGCTGCACAGAGGTCTTTGGAGGAGCTGGGTGTGCAGTGCCCCCCAGTACTGCTGCTTCAGTGTACTGGCTACTGAACTGCTGCCTCGTCATTGCAACGCGCCACATTTAGAAGCACTGAGGTATTTCCATTCCTAACTAAACGATAATTGGGATTCTGCAGGAGTTAAATAAGTTATTATTTTCGTTAGTTACAGTGAAACTCTGGTAAATCTGAACAAATTTTCCACTAGATTTAACAGAAATTTTCCACCAGACTGGAGAGACATTGATAAACTGTGCCTTTGGTCCCAGCAGTTTTGACAAAGTCACTTCTTAGCAACTCACACTTAGGTCTGTAAAGTATCTAAAGTATCAGCTAATGGTGCTTAGGCTTAGACGATTTACAGCTGGTTCTTTTTTTTTTTTTTTTTTTTTTTTTGCTTTGGTAGACTACCTGCCTTTGGAGGTGCTAAAAGACCATACCTTCTCCTAACCAGCCAGTAGTGTAGCATAACTACAGTACTTGTAGTGAAACACAATTTCTTTCTAAATGAAAGTGAAGATAGCTTTCTTTTCAATTTACTTTGATGCAAAACGTGATGTCTGATGTTCACAGCCCTTTAACAAGCAGAATACTTAGGTATCACTATTATAGGTCTCGGAACAGAATTTCCATCAGAGTTCTTTTCAGAAAGTGTTTTCCAATTGCTAGGATGCTAATTTCTACTGTTTAATTTACAAACACGCTGGTTTATTTAACAAGACTCTATAAAAACCTAAAAGATTGCACTGCATTATAATAAAGCTTTTCTTGCTGCTGTAGCATTCTTTGAAAGCAAAAGGTTTTATTATACTCGGAGCATGTCTTTCATTATTATGAGGCAGAAAGCTCTTGTTCGGATTGCCCGAGATTTGACCAGAAGGCGCCCTAGGTGTGCTTAGTTTATTTTTTACCTCTGTGTATGATCCTAGTTGTGTGTATTGAACTGCAACGATAGGTATTTTGTGTATATCTAAAAGCAATGATAGTTTGATGTATGAATGTGCAACAGGCTTGTGACTGCTGTTGCTTAACTTTTTACCATAGCTGAGCATCAAAATAATTAATAAAAGTTTAAAAGAAAAATAGGAATGCAACAATTCCTGGTTTTCTTGTTTCTTCTTGGTTACTACGATTTGAGCCCAAGTCAAATCCTTTCTCCCTGAGCTTGCAACATGCGGTGTTCGTGAGCTATTTGCAGTGGAATGTAGCTTGGTTGCTGTACAATCTTTTGTTGTGTAGGAGTATGATGTAAAATCTGCTAACTGTCTTCAGAAGAAGTGTGTTAATTTGCAGCAGTAGTTATATTGGTTTCTGTTGTTATTTTTTACTTGGTACCATTTGATGTGAGGCCTCTTATCCAGCATTGCTTTCTCGGGCAAAACTCCTGGTTGCTCCGTCTCCTTGGGTTGGAAATGCAGAACCCAGCCTTCCGTTTTCGAGGCATTGCACTCTTGCATAATTTCTTATATGTATAACCCAGCCCAAACAGGTCGTCTGTTGCCTTTATATGTTGTTTTCTCCCATACATATTGTTTGCATAGTTAAACTTAAATTGTTGTATTCCTATATATCTATATATATATATGTACGAAAAAATGTAAAACATGTACTTGTGCCTGCAGTACGTATGTGCAGGGGCTAATTTGAGGGACACTGGTCTTTTGACACTACTCTTGTGTAAATTTTGATACTGTATTAAAACTATTTTTTTACAGTTCCGCATACGACTGGGTATCAAGTATCTGTGTTCATCTTAGCAATGGTAATAAATTATAGAATCTCACCATCGTTTGCTCTCCTTTAATGACCGAAGCCGGGAGGTGCTTGGCTCACGTGTAGCTCTGAAGGAGCTGTTTGAAACGTTTCTTGCTAGGGTGAGAAACTATCTGCATGTGGTGGATTTTTGTTCACCTTCTCTCCAGGTCTCTTCAAAAATCCGAGGTAAGTGGACACGCTCGTATCTTTTATGCTAAATGAAGCAGCTGCTGAATGCGTTGATGTACAGACAGCGGCGTGGCAGCTCCCAGGTGGGACTCGTTGAGTCCCCAGCTGTGCTGCAAGGGCAGCCCCAGGGCACCTGTGCGGGGCCATGCCAACCCCCTTCTTGTGCAGCGCTGCTTTGGGCAAGGACAGGGCAACGTGGAGCTCCTGGAGCCATTTTCCTCAGGTAAGCAGTGTAAGTGTGTTGGTGGTGTTGGGGGAGGCTGGTTGTGTCCCACCATCTTGCACCAACTCTCCTGGAAAAAAAAGCAGCTCGTGCAATCAGTATCTTGCAGCTACTAAATCCTGTGAGGTCTGCTAAAAATACAGCTTGCTAAGAGGAAATTGTGGGCAGTGCATAGGGAAGAGGGTCAGTGCTGTTGGGGCTCCTCTAGCCTGCTGATATTTTTCTGCACTAAAGAGTAAAGATTGCTGTAGTAGTCACAGACCCTTGCCTTGTCTGTCTTGCTTGCTGCCCACACAGTTTGGTGTTTTAAAGTAAAATGTAAGCACGCCCAACCTCATGGATTCCTCGATCAGTTGTTTTTAGCATAACTCTGTATCAGTAGAAAATTTGCACATGTTGTCACAGGGCCATTCTCAGCTCTTGAGCTGAGCATGAATGAGCTATAAAATTCACTACGCGAGTGGCTTTTAAATAGCACTTGCAGAGCAGATGTAGTGAGTGGATTTTCCTTGCTGTGGTGGAGGAAGGCTGTTTTGCATAAGGCTTAGAAAGTAAAGAAAGGGAGTTTGTTTTTCAGCAAGTGAATGGTTTCAGTAGAGCCTGTTCCCCAAAGGTTGCAGCTGATGGATGTGTTTATGAACACAGCTCCAAGCCTACATGCCCTTTTTAACATTTTGAGCATGGACTGGGAGCCAGCCCAAACAGGCTTTGCAGCATGGGGAAGGCACCGGCTGCATGCTGCGAACATCTCAAACACCAAATGCCTCCGGGCTTTTTGTGTATCCTGTAACGTCCTGCTTCATGTGTCGCTATCGGGTACCTCCTCACCAAACAGTGCTCTTGCCAGGACACTAGTTCATTTAATTCTTTATCCCTCTCTGAAAGAAGTCCCAGGAGACTGTGAATTTTTATACTAATCTCACCGGTTTGATGTAGAAAAAGATAGTAGAGATAACGGGGGAAAAAGATCTTTTCAAGACTGTCCTTTATTTTGAAATCCTGCAGAACAGACTAGCAAGCAGAGCTGCCAGATATATAATGCCAAGACCTCTTACTGTTTCCAAATTCATGTTTTCCAGGCTCAGGTGAACCATGTGCCCTGGGACCCCAGCCATGAACATCCCCAGGCTGTGACTTCTGGTCATCCAGACACCTGAAGGTAAGAGCAGCTGACTTGATAGCAGCCCTGCCCGGATTTAATAAATAGAGGCACTTCATTGTTTAATCAACCAGCAAACAGGCATTTGCTGGGCTGCCTCATGATTATGGTACTTCCTAGCACGTGCAGCGTGGCCCAGAAGTGAATTGCAAGGTGTGGGTTGCCAGCTCTGGGAAATGCCATCTGAACAATACAGTAAGCTGTACAAGGAGGAAAGAACAAATGGTCTTTTTGCTAACAATGACTTTTATTCTAATTCCTTTGTCCCCTCTTCTTTGGTGATTCCAGACACATTATGATTATTTTTTTTAAATAAAACATCATGATTTATTTTTTTAACCCAGAAATAGCATGGTGTGGCTGCAATTTTCAAAATGTGGAAGAGAAACTTCAGTTGTTACGAGAAGGCAAATAGTGGGGCCACTTCACAAAATGATCAGAGAGGAGGCTTAGTAATTGATGAAGGAGCATGAGACTACGTGGAACAATCCTGAGCACTCCTGTTAGCTTTGGTGTAGGGTCAGACAATGCACAAGTGGCAATGTGAATGAAAATCAAGTTTTAATTAGCCCTATGGAAACAAAAAAAAATATTTTTATCATGTTCAAAAAATGCTCAGAGAGAGAACATGGACCAGACATACAAACCTTACTTGAATCTTTTAATTGAGAAAGCTCAAACACTTCCATAGGAGTCATGAGAAGATTGAGAAATATTCACAGGGGGTGAACGAAAAATAAGATTGTAGTGTCTTTGGATACTTAATTAGCTCCTGTGGCTGTCTCCTCTGAAATCAGACTGCAGGGTCAGCCTTTCTGCCTTTTCTGTTTCCCTTTTCATATTTCCAGGACACGATGAGAAGCTTGTCCTTTTCAGATACTTCACCACTTACCGTGATCATATTTACAGCATTACTTCAGACATTTTTCCCCAGGCACAGGAGCTGAGGTTGTATTTCCCACCTCTCATATAAATGTGTTGACCAAAGAATTACAGGCCCTATTTAACGTGACCTTTGCTGTTCTTTTCCACACTGTGCTCACTTTCTGCAATACTTTCATGTTTTATTCTGTGGATGTGGATTTTTTTTTGGTGTTGTTGGTTGGTTGGTTGGGTTTTTTTTGGTTGCTTTGTTTGAAAACAGGAGGTTATGAGGTGGGGGTGTGAACATACCCTGAGGTTTGGTGAGGTCTTCTCTGGACAGACCAGGGCCAGGCTCCAGGTAGCTCCAGCCTTGTGCAAACATCAGTAATTCTTGTTCCACCAGCCGGTGGGGAAGGGCCCCAGGGCTTGCTTTCATCTGAAACTGCTTCCTAAACAGCTGGTTCACAGAGAAGTGCCAAAATAATAATAATGAATTATTGAATATGTTTGTTAGGACATGATAATTACTCTTCACTTGAATAAGAATTTGTTGGAATTCTCTCTTCAATGCAGTGGCCTTGACTGTGAGGTTTGTGTTCTGAAGTTCACTTGGTGTTTTTCCCCACTGCTATGAATAGGCTGAAGTAATTTTATTTATTTATTTTTTTAATAATTTACTTATAAGTCTTCAGATTAAAAAGTAAAGGAAAAAAATAATATTGGGAACCCATCCCCAGACTCTAGAAAGAAAGAGGAAAAAGAGAAGGTGTACAGGGAGCTGCCCTGCCAGGATGTGGGCTGTAGGTGCATCTCTTGCTGTGCTCATTCCCCCAGCGGTGTAACCCATCTGCTGGGCAACTCACCCCATGCCTATGCCGACAGTAGAGGCTTGAGAAAGAGGTTGTGTGAGAAAAAAGGTGTTTTCACTTGTGTGATGGTATTTTGTTTGTTTGTTTGTTTGTTTTTAGCATTGCTCTTGATAGGTTGATTGCTCAGGGTAGGGTTTGCTATGAGCAGTAGCGTTGTGTTCTCTGTGCTCAAATGCCTCAGCTAGAGGCAGGTGATGGCATCCTTTTTCTCAACCCTTGGTGACGCCAGTATGGCTTGGCTTGGATGAGTATGCTGAGTGCTATCAAACCCTAACATCACCCATGGCTTTAGTGTACAAGGCAGGGAGCGGGAGGAAAACACTCCCCTGGGGTTTTGAGGTGGCTTTCAGAATAGGGATCGGGTTTGTTGGCAGGATGGTGGCAATCGGCTGAACATCTCTCTGTGGCATGGGGCTGTCAAGCTGCTCTGTTTTCACAGGCATTACCCTTCATAAGGGAGGAAATAATCTAAAAATATATTATTTTTCTCCCCCTACTGAAGGGGAAATATTCACAGACTCCTGCACGTGCCCATTTAAAAGGCACCAGAGCACCCCAGAGCCCACCCTCCACAACCTTGAAAATCCCAGGAAAAGCACACCATGAAGCATGGAAACGTTTCCATGGGAACTGTTCCTCTACTCCTGCTAATAAAATGGACCTATAACACAAATGATAACGGGTCCCAGTTTCTGCACCAAACTACAAACAGTGAACACTACAAAGGGAGCCAGTAAAGAGCAGAAGTGTAAATCAACAGAACTGCTAAATTGGGTACGTGCATGCCTCCCCACAAAAAACCACAAGCATATAAACAAAGCCCTCAGGAAAGGGAAAAAAAAAAAAAGATCATTTTAATTATAGCACATGCAGCCAACATAAACCCCATGGATTGTGTGAAATCAGTTTTGTTCTTCTGGTACGCAGCAGGAAGCTCTGTAGCAGATCAAATACGTTCAGGGAGGCTGTCTTGCTAATTGCCACTCCTAGCTGAGCCAAAGCAAACTATTTAGACAAAGGAGAGAATTCACTTTTTATTTAGGATTAATTATGAAATAGCATGTCTGGATGGGCTTCACAATAACACTACATTTCCTGGGGAAAAAAAAATAGTTCTAATCCTGTGAAATAATTGGAGAATTAACCCCTTGCTTCAGGCTGGAACCCCCCAAGATGTGCAAGATGAATGCTGTCTTGAATAAGGTCTTTCCTTCAGTCACAGCAGATTATGAAACTCATTTTAAAGCCAGATTTTCACATATTCTTGTATGTTGGTTTTTCTATTTTCTAATATTTAAGCCTGCTATAGCCATTTTGCATCATCCTTTTGGATTGTCACAAAAGATTCTGGAGTTTTGCACTGGCTATTTCAGGGCTTAGTTAGATATGTCACTTGGGCACTCGCACTTTGTGCTGCTGGTAGCCTACCAAAGTTGACTTGAGGTTTTATTTTCCTCCTGTGCTTTTCTCCTGCAGCATACAAGTAATGTGCTCTCAGAGCAGCTTAGCAGAGGATTAGTGTACATAGCCATGGACAAATAAAACCTGTGGCAGGGAAGAAGATGAGATACTGACTAAAAGAAGTGAGTTGTTCTCAGATTTGGTTTACTGATTTCCACACTTGGGCAGCAGTTCTGGAGTTGCTGATGGTCAGGTGCCACCATAGAAAAGGGGGGGGTGATGATGAACTTCTAAGTTATGATGCATGAATTAAATTCTGCTACTGAAGTTTTGAACAGTTACAGTAAAAGAACTGTACAAATTATTAGTTTCCTACTTTTCATAATCAGTACATAGCGTATTATACCCTTTCTTTTGCAGTGTCTGCATGCAGGTGTGCATGTGCCAGGCTTTATTGAAGATCACTGAAACAAATGGGACTTAGGTTAGCTTGTGGTCTGGTGTGTAGTGCAGTTAGGTGGTGTTGCAGATGCGACCGTGCCCTCTTCTGAGCAAGGTCTGTTCTCTGCTATAGAGCCCCAAAGTCATTGCATTTCTCTTGGTAAGGCACTCTCAGCACAGAGCTTCTTGGCTTTCCTGATCAGGATTTTAATACCAGACCTTTAAAAGGAGAACCCAAAGTATAATCAAAAGTAATCACATTCAAATAGTCTGTGGTCAGATTACTTATTTGCATCTTGGCATCTGGTAGCATCTGAATGAGTGATTTCAAAGTAAAGCATGCTTCTTTTAAATGGGCTTCTCCCCACACACACATAGAGCACCTCGTGTCCAGATGAGTAACCTGTAGCTAGAAGGACTCTAAAGCTTTTTCATTTGATCACAGTAAATAAACTATGTTAACATGTTAAAACAAGAAGAGATTTTACCTCCCAGAGATGACTTACTAGATAGAAATTTTTAAAATGTTCACCTTGTCATGTTAATAACTATACAAGCAGGAGAAAAGCATAAAATGATGATTAGTCTTTGTCTCCACAGATCCCATCAATAACATTGGGAGAAAAAAATGAAATAGATGTTCAAGTCTGTATAGTCAAAGACAGCTTCATTAGAAGAGCAAAGCTGCATAATTAGCACATTACTGTTAGTTTGCATACAGGATAATATCCACTTGGTATTTCAGAGTGCTACAGACCATCAAGGAGGGCCAGTCCATGCCACAGCTGGGGCATACCCTTGCTGCATCCCATGGGGAGAGCATTGCCAGCTTGTCCCAGAACAAGGGATTGATGTGGCAAAGCAGAGCTGCTGCCATCCTTCACCCACTTGGAAAGCGTTGTTCTTGATGTGCTGCGCGTGGTTTCCAGTCATGCAAATTACTGGGCAGACAGGGACAGAGGCAGAAAGGCACCATTATATTTCTGTAATCATAAATTATGCCATATGTTACCTGCAGTTCAATCTCTAAATTCTGTGTTGACCCCAGTAGCATGTGGCTGTAATTAAGCTGTCTGTGGAGCAGGTCTGCCCGGTGATTACACATCAGAGCCTGGCTGAGCGTGACGGCGGAGGAAGGGGGTCAGGCACCTGAGCACATAGACAGGTCGCTTGTGAACAGATGAGCTGTTACCACAATTTAATCAGGCTGTGGAAAACATGCTGAAACGATTCATAACAAGTAAACAGGATAGGAGTGGCTTGTAATAATCTGCAGGGGAAGCTGTTGCTTTTGGCTGTGGCACGTGCTAGTGGCCGAGTGCCAGCGGGGAGCACTGGGGACCAGACTCTTAGAGTAGGCCTTACCAGATGTTTAGGGTTCATCCCCACACATTGCTCACCCATTACTGACAGCAGAGTCACAGTGTGTTCAATCCAGTTTGATCTTCCTCACCATGAAAAAGTTTCCCTTAAGTCTGCCTAGAATTTCCTGTGTTCCCACTTGTCACTTGCCTCTTACCATTTCACTGGGCAGCTTTGTGGAGAGGCACGTACCATGCACTCCAGCCCCTGTCCATCCTGGTGGCCTCCCATGGACTTGCTCCAGTATGTCCAGGTTCATTTTCTGCTAGGGAGGCCAAAACTGGGCCCCGTGCTCCCAACAGCTCACTGGTACTGAGGGGAAGGATCACCTCTCTCAGCCCTACTTTATAAGAGTACTAGAAGTGTTTAAGTACTGTGGTGACAAAAACTGTGTCGGTACCTTGATAGAACAGAAACTGCAGGAATATTCATATATAACTTCCATAATACGTATGTGCTTATGTTAAGTAATAACTTTGCTGTGTACAGCAAAATGGTTCTGCAAGTGCTAATGGAAAATTGAGATTGTTGTAAAAGTAGGTAAGTGCCAGCAGTGTGCAATAAACATTCTGCTCTGAAGCCATTTTGGAGAAATGTTCAGGTTAAAACAAAGATGGTGTAGCTCTGAACTACTTCAGATTAAGCGACTAGCTTCCCTTGGCCCTTTGAAGCTCTTTCTTTTCTCAGATAAAAGGTCTATGTGACCATATACTCTTTTTTCTTTTTCTTTTCTTTTTTTTTTTTTTTTCCATTCCAATATCCCTTCATTAACAGGAAAAAGGAACAATGGAAAGCAGATGACTTTTGATAACATTCACAGAGATCTGGTCTGCTACTGAGTGATGCTGAGACTAGTGCAGATAAGGTTTTATCTTTGATCTTGATGAGATAATTGATGCTCGGCATCCTTTAGTGATGCTTATGTGTCAGTTGAAAATTTCATTGCCTATTTTGTTCCAGTGCTTTTAAGTAAGGGACTGAGATTTGTTTCTGTGCTTCTGGCCTGAGGAGGTGTGAAGAGAACCCAAGAATTCTTGCTCCTCAGGGTTAACTCTGTGGGGTGGAAGTTTTGTGAATTTGGGACCAGATAACCAAGTCAGGACACCTGCGCCACTGGTAACTGCATTGCATTGCCTGTCACCATGGGACGTACTCTGATGTGCCAGCTCTGATGCAGACATGCTGTTTTATCTTTTGTGCTTTGTATGTCAGAATTTGGGAGGAGAGCAGGGCTGGGTCCTCTCCAGCATCCCACAGCTCTTCTGTGTGAGGGGAATTTCCAGATGGCATAAAATGAGACAGCAGTTTTCTCTGAGAGAGATAATGAAAATATCTTAAAATAGCCTCTGCTTGCCTGTGCACTGTTATTACCCAGCCTAGAAGGCTTTCCAGAAATAATAGAAAAGGGTGTAAGCGAGGAAGTTATGTCTCAGCAGTGAAGCAGCGGTGCTGTGCAGGGTCTCCTGTTGCATCTTTGCAGAGTGCTGAGGGGCTGCAGGGCAGTGCCTGCCTCAAGCTGCACTGCCTCCTGCTCCCCCTTTTTCTCTTCTCTCCTCAGGGCTGGCAGGAGGGTTTCTCTTTTTTTTTTTTCTGCTCACACCTTGCTGCTGGGCACCATTTTGCTGTTCCTGACCCCTCTGTGCCAGAGGTGGTGCTAAGGGGCCAGGCTGTGCTGGGGGCCACTGGAACCCGTCGGCACCTCTCCTCACAGGGCTCCATGCCTGACACCCAGGCACCCGCAACCAGCAAAAATCCTCTCAGAATTTTCCCCCAAAGCACAGGATAAGTGGGTTCTCAAAGGGGGCATTTTCCTGGCTTGACAAATGACTCCCCTGCCCCACCACAGGCCCTGGCAGAGGCTGAAGGTCACGGCTGGGGCCTGCAGTGCCCAGCAGGGCGTGGCGGCAGCCATTTTGTGGGTAGGGCCAGCAGCTTGCGTTTAGGGTTTGGGATGTGCCCAGACCTCTGTAACACAGCATGTGCAAAGGCAGGACTACATCCCACCGTGAAATGAGCTGTGGTAAAGCTCCCAGGTGCGTAAACTGAAGGGGAAAAAATTGGTTTGAAGTTTGCTATTTCTAGTCATTTCACGTCACGTCGTGTCACTCATAGAGGGGGGGGGGGAAGTGTTTCCTTGGGCAGACTGGCAGTCATATAAATCATTTGTTCCTCTGCTCACTGCCCACAGGTAACTGTGAGCACGCAGCAGTGACCATGTGTATCAGGGAAAACATTCTTGGATTCATAGCATAAAAAAAAAGTATTCTAACACATATTTGCCGCATTTAAGTTTTATGGCAACATAGAAACATTGTAAACAGCAAACTCCATAAATCAGAGCAGGAGTTGGAAACATTGCTGCTAATTTTCCAGTGCTATCCATTTGTACAGGGAGGAAATGTTAGGCAAACTGATTGTTTTTACCTAGAAGTAATTAAATATGTTCCCTAAGAGGTTTCTGAGCAAACTGTTTATTAGCCACATTTGTAATTTCTATTTCTCATGTTATTATGCCCTGTATTCTGGCAGCCTAAACAAGAGGAGCTAAAATTACATGAATTAAGACATGGTATTAAAAGAGAGTGGTACAACTGATCCAAAATAGCACTCGGAGTTGCTCTTTGTTCAAATATGTCCTACAAGTTTTCATTCTTTACAGAGAAATACAGGGCAGGCCTCCAGTGCCATCGTAGTCTTAGCTAAGCTATAACTGTACAGCAAACCATTTTTAAAGAATTCTGCTTTGGTAATTGGAAACAATCTGTGCAACATTTAAACCATCAGGAAAGGTAGTCCTGGTTTAGCTGGCTGGAAGTACACTTAAAAGAAAGGTGTTTGCCTTTCTGATTGCCTTCACCTTTTTATTGCTATTTTCTAGACACAGTCCCAAGAACTGGGATTTATTTCATTGGTGTACATGACTGGAAAATTATGTGAAAATGGTGCATTTTCTCTTCTTAGTTTGGTATATCTGTTTTTGGTAAATTATATGAAAAATGTCACATTTAGTATTTAAAAAGGTTTAAAATTTAATCATTTGTGAGTTATTGGTAACTGCCCATTGTTAGTGGCTGCTCTTAAAGGCCTAAGGCCTTTGGAATCAGAGATTATAAAGCTATAACTGTGGTAAAAATGGTAATATGTATTGAAATGAAGTGACAGAACTACTGCAATAAAAGATAAACGTGCAAGGTAAGCTCCTGAACTAATGCCGTTTGATATACCTTTGCTGTAAGCGGATTTTCTCCCTATTTACCTCTTAGCAAAATTTGGTCTGTAAACAGTAGAAGTCTGTCTTGGTCAAAAACAGTTATATTTTGCAGGTGCTCTTGCTCTCATATATAACTACAGTAGAGCATGGTAGGACAATTAAGTATTTATCAAAAGGATACAGATATGGTACTTGACAAACTACATAGTTCTTGTTGAGTTATAAAAAATGTAACTGTTGTAACAACAACAACAAAAAACAACCCATGTCTGAAATGCTCTATACTTTGTAATTAAAAATCAGTTCAAAGTAGTTCAAAAGGAGGTTTTCCTCATTCTGAAGGTTAGGTTTTTAAAGGGCTTTAGGGAATTTACAGGATCGATCAGATATCTCCTATTTCTGTTCACTCCTGTGTAACTAATTTATCCAACTCAGAACAACTCGATGAGGGAGTGGTAATGAACAGTGGTAGCTTTACATGAATAAGACACCAGCCTGGACCAGGTTTTCCTCTGCATGCAAGAACATAAATTCATTTCATGCCAGTCTGTAGTTCACTGAGTGCTTTACCAAAACTTTTTGTTGTGGGGGAATCTGTCAGATGGGATGTGTGAATAAAATTACAGATAACCCTGTGAAGCTGCTCAGTGAAGGTGCTTTATAAGGTGTTGGTGGAGACAGGTAAGTCTGTATGGGCTTTACTCTGGGTTTGTAGGACCTGACACTGAGACGCATGCTTAGTTCATATGTGCTTGGTTTAGTGTTTGTCTTGGTCTTTGACATGAATTCATTTTCTATGGCACCCCTGGCAGGTAAGTGGGAGTTCCTGATGCCGTTCTCTTGGGAATACTGCTCACAAAAATACTGCTTTTTGAACTGCACTCCTGGGGGAAGGTCTCTCTGAACTGCTCCAGGCTTAATCCCTATTTCTTCAAAGTAATTTCAGTAAAGACAGGCAAGTCTCAAACAGCGTTATTAACACCCTTATAAACACCTTTTCCCTCCATTTTACAAATCCTAAAAGACACTTCTTTTTTTTAAAGTCAGTGCAAAACGTTTCTTTATTTACATGAAGGAATTCCTTCATCTATTTGAGAGAGACGATTGGTTTGTGCATGCTACTGCTGTGCACAGGAACATTTGCTGCTGATTAAAGGGGTACGGCTCAGTTCGCAAAGCAAAGTGCCAGTACAAACATTTCTCCCCTTCGCCTTCTGGTCTCTTTCAAACTTGAATTTTCCAGGTGCTAAATGGTCTTCACTCAGAGAAAAGACCATCTGTGTCTTTTATTGATGTTCAGATGAATAAAACTTCGCAGAGAAGAGCTTATTTCACTCTTTCTCCTTTCCTGCCTCAACACCAAAGTGAGTGGCTTTGCAGGAGGAAGGTTTTGTGGCTGTGCCAAACAAATTGGCAGAGATTGCTGGGCCTTGCAAAATCATGCTGACCTGTGACTGGAGTGGCTCTGCACTCCCTTTATCCTGTAGGAATTATCTGTGTAGGGTTTTCAATCTGTCGGAGAAATGCTATTTATCCCGCTGATGGTAAAAACAAAAGCATGGCGTTGTGTGATGCTTTAGATGTAAAGTCAAAGGGACCGCTTCCCAGCCACTGCTGTTGGTAGGGCTTCTCTGCTCAAAGCAAAACTGGGGGATGGAGAAAAATAAGAAGCAAATTAGAGTTTTCTGAACGCCTTTGCTAATGCCTCTTCAGTGGGAAATGTGAAACTCCAGGCTATAATTGTGGAGGTGGTTTGATGACTGTGTGCACTGCACACAGTCCAAATTTGAACACAGACATACGTGTCCTCCTCTCGGCCATGAAGCTTGTAGCTCCAAAACCAAAAGGTTTCCCTCAAAATTTAGCAGTGCTCATTTGTTGACCAGAGGAGTGAATAGTGACTGGGAGATTCATTGGGCAAATACCAAAATATAGTTCAAGTATCAAAATGAAGTTCATGTAATACGAATTACCAAATTACAAAAATGACAGTATTCTGTGTTTCTGCAATGTCTAATTAACTGCCTTGTGAATAAAAGTGCTGCTATTTCTTGTCTGTAGACCTTGTCTAATACTCTGACACCCCCTTCTTGAACAGGAATGCTTCCTCTGAAGGCCCCAGTGCTGCAGCAAGAGGAGCAGTACACCCAGGCATTGTCATGGCTCCGGTTTGCTGGACTGTCATCTTGCCCCTCAGCAGCAGCAAAAGTGAGTCACAATTTCCAAAACACTTGACAAATTTCTTTCATTTGCGGAAGCAGCACCCAACAGAGGGGCAGCAAGGAGGCCCTTGCCTAGGCAGGTGGCCCAGGTGCATCTACAAGGGGTAGGTGGCAAAGCTTGTCAGCAGCTGATCCGCTTTAAAAGTGTATGTATTTTAATTTAAAATAACACTGATTCTTATGTGGTGTTTTGTCCAATGTACCAGTTGTTTTCACAAATGCATTTCTACCTATTCCAAGACTTGCTGTAAATTTTATAGTGGCAGAGGGTTTAATAAATTACATGAGACAAGAATGAAGAGGCAAGTCCAACCTTTAACCAGAGAGCGAAGGAATCATGTGAATGTAGAACATTTTTTTTCACCCTCTGTAATGAATGTACAATATTTTTTGCCATTACTAGCTGTTGGCTCTAAAAGAGAAAATACAGAGGCTAGTGACCCAAGGCCATAGAAATGAGGGAATACTAGTACATAAAACCATTTGCACTAAAATATTAAACTTGTCCAGAAGATAAATAATGCTGTTTGTTAGTAGCAGTAAGAGAGTAATGGTATGCGATCAGCCCTCATAGGTTAGCCTGTGCCACACATTGCCTGTGGGCTAAGGCTTGATGGATGCTCCCTGCCAGCCTGGTGTGGCAGGAATAGATCAAGATTTGGTGTTTCACACTTAACTCAGCAGATCATGAAAGAGAAGCTGTGAAGCAGAGTTGATTGTTAATTTGTTGAGTGTACACATTCATGCTGCTGCAAATCTGTGTAACTCAGCCCATTTCAGGGCTGTGCAGTCTTTAAGGGACTAATGGCTTGTTCTGCAGCACTTGCACCTGCCTACACCGGGGAGCTGATATGCTTTTAAAATATATATATTTATAAGTTTGAAGAATTTTAAAGAGAGCCCATCCTCAGAGAATACAGGGTGGGCAGCTCGGCAGTGGTGTTTGAAGAAGGTGGGCCCACCATTTGACCTCTGTTGTGTGTGCCATCTCTCTCTTTGCTGCCGGCTTGAAGCTGGCATTGCCCATGGTGAATTGCAGTGCACGCCCAAATCCTGCAACTGCTCTCTGCCTCGGTTGGGCAGTGCACAAGCTGAGGACATGCCCTGGTACCATCCTGTTCCCATTTTTGCACTGACTTTTCCTTCCTCAATACCGGGCATGTGGTGGAAACAGCTGGCATGGCAGCAGCTTCCCAAGCACGTGATTAATCTGCATTGGTAGCCTAGCTTTTGTGGTACCTACAGGTGAGTGTGTGCTGGGGACAGCCGGATGTTATCTTGCCTTGTCTGAATCCCAAAGGGTTATTGGTAAGCAGTATTATCAGTGTACATGAGTTTAATGTAGATACTGCTAAATGTGTTACACACTTTCAAAAGTGAATTTGCCAAACTGATGTTATTCTAGGGCAAGAAATAAATAACTTGCAGGTTTGCTTGCAGTCAGTCGTGCGTGGCCATTTAGAGCCAATGATGCAACAACAGGTTGTTAAACAATTTTAAACAAGCCCGTTTTGAACGTTGTGAAAGTAACATTTAATGAAGTGAAACATGGATCAATGGTAAAATCTGTGCGGTGGCTCAGTTGTATTGATTGCAAGGTTCAAAGGCTTTCGGTATGGACCTGTTAAACATCTATAATGTTGAGGCTGAAACGATGCTTGGCAAGTGCTAACGAGGCTGAAAAGGCAGCGTGGGTGTGTTTGCTGCTTTCACGTAACCTGCTGGCTTTCTGAGTCAGTCAGAAGGGCTGGGAACCTCCAGGTCACACGGGAGGTGCTGCCAGTGTCTCCCATCCACGTGCAAAGAAAGGGAGAGACGCTGGTGTTGTGGCCAAGGCACCACCATGGCAGCTGCGGCTGCCGAGCGTGGAGGTGCCACTGCTCTCCTTCAGCTGTTTGGTGAAGCAGGTGAGTGTACAGTTTGGCTGGATTTGGCTTTGGCCCACAGAAAGCTGGATCCTGGCTTCAGTCTGGCCTCCGACATGGGAAGATGTATGGTCAGGCAGACAGTGCTGCAAAAATAAAATCAATACAGATCAACTGAAGAGTTTTAATCTTGCCTCTTAAGACTCTGCATCTGTCCATTCTCTTATACGCTACACATCAGTGAACATTACTCACTTGCAAATCAAAATATTGTGACTTACTGTGTTAGGTATCAACACGTATACACACATCCCAAATGTACCTCTCTCTGTTGTGTGCACAGAAACTCACCCAGCCAACTTCCACGGGCAGTACAGCAGGGCAGTGCTGTAGGAAACGGCGGGGTTTAGGTGCTCTGCTTGACCCTGACAGCTCACACTCCTGGTAATTGGGCTGATGACAGTCAAGCTCCAAACAACTGCATATAAAGGGCACTTTTTCATAAAACAGCAGGTACGTCTCCTGCATATGTTCTGACAACGGCAATTAAAAACAGCAGCTCACCGGGGAATTGCTAAATATAGTATGGCCTGAAGTTCTGAGCTTCTGTTTCCTGGATTTTTTGTTGTGACTCGTGCTTTTCCCCCTTACGTGTGATGCAGGAGAACTTAAAGGTCAGGTGAGCAAACCAGCAGTGGGGCGGGAGAAGGAATTTAGAATGAGGTTTTGCTAGCCCGATGTAGCCAAAACTCCTGCTGGTAAGGAGGAGAAAGGAGTGCTGAAGGTGAGGTGTGGGGACTTGAGAACATCAGGGCGGGCGCCCTCCAGCTGGGGCTGCAGTGATCTGGGACGTAGGAGGCCCTCTGCAAGAAGCTGTTGCCTTTAGGAAACCCTTTTCCTTTAGGCAGTGCAGAAAGAGGGAGAGCTTTAAGTCTTGGCTGTCTTAATTCAGGACAACTTGATGTCGTTGCTGCAGTAACACACGCTTTGCTTGTGCATAGATTTATTTTACAGAGACTGAATGAAGGAGGGAGCGCTCTCCTCCTCAGTGGTATAGAAGCATTTATGGATGCTTTGGTGTTTGGTTTAACAGCTTATGCTTTTAAAGACATTGACATCTTGTTTGTTTTACCTAAATAGATATATGCTATTTCCGGAAGCTGTTGCTGCTGCTGGGCTTTTATGACAATCTTTTCATTTGTAGTGTGGGAGAGGTCACAGCATTTTGCTAACTCAAAATATGTGACAATGACAACAAAACCCAAATTTCATTAAAAGAAAAAAAGGGTCAGCACTGTACAGGCTGATTATAAATAGTGCCGCCAGTCAGTACCTGATGGTTTATTGGACCTTATGAAACTCCTGGTATCCAAATGTGTATTTTAAGAAGCCAGCTGACCTTGGGCATCTCTCCTGCTGGGGGATGCTCTCTGCTGTGTCAGTGGTTCAAAATCAATAACCTCCAGCGCTGTCCTGTGAGCGCACCGGTATTTAAGGGTGATATTGTAAAATGTGACATTATTCTGCTGACGAATGACTCGATACTGATATCCCTGTGGAGAAGGGTGGGCAGGGTTATGTGGTGACTCTAAAACTTCACTGATAATGAATGAGGAAAGAAAAAAAAAAAAACTGCTGGGGATGCCATTTCATCCATTTAGCACTGGGATCTGCTGCCCTTGTATCAACCTTTATCATCATGGCCCACAGGTGCCTGAGCTAAACCTGCTTGTCTGTTGTATTTTCCCAAGTTCATCAGATTGTTAGAACTCTGAAACCCAGAGGTTATTTTATATCCTGCTTTTAATAATTTCAGCAGCCTGAAGACCTGTGTTTGCAGAACTGCTTAGTGCCTGGCTTGGACACAAACCCAAGGTTGTAGTCCAAAGATCAGTGCCCAGCTCTTACTTTTAGGGCTGCCTGGAGACTTTTTGCTGTTGTCTATAAATTGATTGAGGCTGGGCACCAGGGAGAGAGGAGAGTCGTTTGGTGCTGGAGCAGATGGGGATAAACAGGTGCTGACTGCATCTAGCGCAGCAACTAAAAGAGGGCTTCAAGCTAGCAGAAGTGTCTTTCTATAAAGGCTGAAGCAAAAATGTGAACGTCTTTTAAAGATTGATACTTAGTTTATGCAAGGGGAAGTATGTTAGTAGACAGAGGATTGGTTCATTGATTTGCAAAGGTTTTTTCTGTGCTTTAAATATTTACGGCTCCAGACTAACCAAGATGTTATCTGTAGAGGAGTGCTCTTCGTGGCCTGGGTTGAGCATGGATTTTCTGCATTCCTGGTTTTGGAACTCAGTTGTACACCAAATCTAACTGAGCTCTGAATACCTCAGTTTTCTTTCTGCATTTGAAGAGATGACACAGACTTTCTGTGAAGTAGTTTGACAAATCTACTTATGGCAATCAGCTGCTCTGTAGCTCATATTTTAAAATTAATCGCCTTTCAGAAGAATAATACTGTTACTTTCTTGTAAGCATGTGGCTCCTGGCATCCGTCTGTGTAAACAAACCTCATTATCTTTAGCTGGCTGCAGACTGTGAGGGTAAGAGAATCGCTGAGTGCAAGTGTATGAATTGATGTGCAATTGCAAATTTCCCAAATAACTTTTTTAATAACATCTTTTAAATGTTTTAGGTACTAAAGGGCTCAGTGTGTCTCTTCATAATATACAGTGTGATTAATTCAAATGAGAAAAAACAGTCATGCAGACAGGCTTTACAGCTAATGAGCAGGATGCATAAAATATGCTCTGCCTCACTGAAGTATTATTGTCTTCTGACATTTTTGCAAACTCCCATGGAATTTGTTTTGCATCAACTGCTGTTAGTGAAGACGGAGTTGGTGAATTATTGCCTCTTTATTTTGAGACCTGAACTAATTCCCTGTGCAGGTTTCTGCAAGTTTTCTTTGCACAGTTCTGAGTCCCAACAGCACAGGCAGTGAAGGCGGCAGTAAATGGCATCCCTGCATCACTGAGGGCTACGTTGTCAATCATAAGCAAAGGCAGTGGACTTGTAGATCCCTTCTTTTTTTTCCCCTAATATATCATCTTAAAAGTTTGTTTCCTGTTTCAGTCCCTTGTACATTGCCTGTGCAGTGGGTTTTTAAATATAT